CAAACACTTCTCTTCCCTGACGACTCCACCTCGACTACAGCGGTACAGGGAGAGGAATCTCCTCTAGCCGCAACCCACTAATACACATCAAACGTGACTCGACATCATCAGGCGACCTTTCGACACATGGCCCTTGAGTTTGTAGGAAAATGAAGATAGAAGAAAAAAAACATTCGAAATAATAATCTAATACTTTTATAGTTACTGGTGCTGGTAGGGGGATGAGTCGCTCGCGTCCGTAGGCTTCGACCACCAAACCTTAGGCCCACCCTACACGTGTCCCCCGGGTGGTGCTAAACGAGCGACAAAGCCGAAAAAAAATAGACTAGGCTTCCCGCCGTGTGGTAGCGGCGTAAAATCTACCACCACCCCTTGTTCGCACCATGAGGCAGGAGATAAAAGAAATGGCCCCGAGTTCCCGGCGCCCCTTTAATGGGGCAGGGGTGCGAAGAATCTCCGGGAGAAAAACCGGCGACGAGGTTCGCCACCCATCACGTTCTGTCTCCCGGAGGGGCGAAAAGTGAATTGCGGAAGCCCGTCTGGCTACGCTGAATGTATGTGGAGCAATGAATGATAAGATGGATGAAGTATGCGAAATGATGAATGACAGAGGAATAGATGTGTTATGTGTAAATGAGACGAAACGAAAGGGAAAGGATGCCACTGCACATGGCACGTATACCGCGTATTGGTCTGGTATAGACGAGACCGAACGGGCATGCCAGGGAGTCGGTTTCATCCTTTCAGAAAGAATGGGTCAATGTGTGAAAGAGTATGAATGTGTAAGCCCGAAGCTGCTATGGATACGAATGAAACTAGGCTTAAAGAAGCTGTTCTTGCTAGGGGTGTACGTCCCAGACATGTCTAAGCCCACTTACATCCGAGAGCAGTTTTGGGACATGGTAAGGATGGTGTTTACAAAATGTAAGGAAAATGAAAATATTATTATGTTAGGAGACTTTAATGGAAGGGTTGGGGTGAAGAGGTCTGGTTATGAAAGGATATTGGGAAAGTTTGGTGATGAAAGTATAAATGAGAATGGTGAAGACCTCCTCACCGTATGTGTTGAAAATAATCTCTTTGTGACGAATACTTTTTTCTTCATAAGAAGATTCACATGTATACATGGGAAAGAGGTGATGATAGAAGCATGATAGATTTCGTAATTGTGGATGAAAAAATGAGCAGCGCAGTCGTAGATACAAGCGTTTACCGGGGGTCCAACGTAGGGACGGATCATTACTTGGTCTTATGTCGAATTAATGGTCTTTTGAAGCGTTGGCGGCATCGGACATCTGTGTCTACCACTGCGTTACAGCGTATAAGAATAGAGAAGTTACAAGATAAAGATGTGAAAGAGAAGTATAAATGTAGACTGAGAGAAAATATTATGTGTTTGAATGAGATTTGTATGAATGATTTAGACTTGAATACTGTGTGGGATAATATTAAGAAAGGTTTGGTGGATGCAGCCACCGAAGTATGTGGTGTAAGTAAGAGAACAAATGAAAGGAAAAGGAATACGTTGTGGTGGGATGATGAGGTGCGGGTGGAAGTTGAATCAAAGAAGAAAGCATGGTTAGATTTACTAGCAACTAAAACTGGTAATTCTGGTGGTATGAATGATGAGATTGAAAGAAAAAAGGCAGAATTTAGACGTCTAAATAAGAGAGTAAAAAAAAGTAGTTGAAAGGAAAAAGAAAGAAAGAACGGATAAGAATAATAGAAGGATATCTGATAATTTCCAGGCTAATATAAAAATGTTCTGGAAACTCGTAAGAACTGCCAGGGGAAATACAAAATAGCCTATAATTAATGCTATAAGAGACGAGAATGGATGTATTCTGAATGATGAAGTTTCGAATTTAAACAGATGGAAGGAATACTTTGAAAGCGTGTTTATGAGTGAAGAGTCATCTGAATTAAATGAACAAGAAATTCCGAAAGAAGTGGAAAGGGGTATGGAGATAAATGTAGATGAAATAATGAAAGCAATAAAAAGCATGAAAGCAGGTAAGGCAGTTGGATATGATAGAGTATCACTCGAAATGCTAAGGGCTGGAGAGGGAGTGGTGGCAGGCCTGCTGTAGACCTTGTTTAATTTATGTTGGGAATTAAAACGGGTACCGAATGACTGGTGTAAAGCAGTTATAGTACCAATATATAAAGGAAAAGGGTCACAGCAGGCCTGCAAAAACTATCATATTGCTTAGTATCAGCTTGCCTAGTATTGAGGGTAAACTGTATGCTAAGGTGTTAATTGAAAGAGTTATGAAAGAAACTGATGGAAGAATGTGGGAAGTGCAAGCGGGTTTTAGAAAGGGAATGGGGTGTACAGATCAAGTCTTTTCCATGTGCATGATTGCGGAGAAGTTTTTGGCTAAAAACCAGAAAGTTTTTTGTGCGTTCATGGACTTGGAAAAGGCTTATGACAGAGTGGACAGGAATGTGTTATGGCAAACACTGAACAAGAGCCAACAGATTGAGGTCTCTTTATAGGGATTCTAGTGCTTGTGTCAGGATCAATGGGGTCTACTCAGACTGGTTTTGGCATCCGAAAGGGTGTCAGACAGGGCTGTGTGGCTTCCCCTTGGCTGTTCAACCTATTTATGGACAGTTGTTTGCAAACTTTGAAAGATGAAGAATGTGGGTTAAGAATGGGCGAGTTAACCGTCAAATGCCTTTTGTATGCCGATGATCAAGTCATATTTGCGTCATCGGCGGCTGAGTTGCAAATGATGGTTACATTAATGAACTGGGAATTAAAAGAAAGGGGAATGAAAGTGAACGCAAGTAAGACAAAAGTGATGGTTTTTGAAACAGAAGAAAGCAAAACGGTATGTGAAATAAGAATAGAAGGAGAGTTAATTGAGCAAGTGGATGAGTTTGTGTATTTGGGATGTGTATTTAGCAGGGATGGTAGATATGATAAGGATATAGAACGACGAGTAAATGCAGGGAATAGTGAATGGGGCACTACACTCTATTGTGAAGAACCAGAATGTATCAAAAAAGGCACGAATAGTATTTCATAATGCTGTGTTAGTCCCTACTTTAATGTATGGTAGTGAAAGCTGGGTGTGGCAGCAGAAGCACGAAAGTAGAATAAATGCTGTAGAAATGCGGTCTTTAAGGAGTATGCTAGGGTTGAATCTAAATGACAGGATGAGAAATTGCATGATAAAAGATAAATGTGGTATGCAAGATGATGTTGTGACCAGCATTAAGAAAGGAATGCTTCGGTGGTTTGGTCATTTAGAAACAATGAATGAGGAAACAGTGACAAAACAAATTTATATGGCAGATGTGAACGGCAGAGTCGGGAAGGGACGCCCTAGAAAAAAGTTTATCGACCAAATTGGCGATATTTTGAAAATGGGCCACGTTAAAAGTACCCTTAACCGACGAGCATGTATGCGTAGATATATGGATGTAAAGGAGGCGAAAGAGGTATGTCAGGATCGTGTCAAATGGAAGTCCGTGATCTCTGCCTACCCCTCTGGGTGACAGGCGTGAGTGTTTATGCTTTATGCTTTATGGTGCTGGTACTACTAGAAAATATTGTCGGAATACTGCACTTTTTCAAAATGGTGCAGTTCTCATGTCTAATAAATCAGTGAAACAAATATGATCATTTTGTTTCGGACGCCAATTTACAATATTTACTTTTAAGCCATAATTTTAGTCTAGGTTCAATTGGAAACCTCTTAATTAATACATATTTGATAACCATGTTAACAGATATAGGTAGGAAAGAACGACAACCAAACGACACCAAATTAAGAAGCGTGAGCAACAAAATACTGCGTTTTTTCTCCCAGATGGGACTGGACTGCTCAATCCTAGTTGATGATAATGCTTAGTGGTACTTTGTTTACCCAATGCCTTGAGTTAAGGAAAAACGACCAAGAAGTCGCATCTTATTGCACCATGACAATGCTTTGGCACACACTGCGAACAAGATATAAAGGTGGAACTCGTGACCCATACCGCACTTAGTCCAAACCTCGCACTTTCGATTCCTTTAAGTTCATTTTTGTATAGGTAATCTTGTTTTCCCCAAAAATCAAATATTTTAAATTTTTTAAAATTGAGGCGGCGCTGTCGTCGCGCCACAAGCGAAACACACCGAAGTCTAAATCACGCTATCAACATTCCGAATCATAAACAGCATATATAAAACATCTCCGAACTATCACACGGAGTGTTGACCGCTCCCCGGGTAGAACACCACGCCCGGCGGGAGATCTCCCCTTTTCTTTCTACGGCCACAGTGGTGACCCCGACGTGATCTGAACACGCAACCAACAACTTTAGGAAACTTCAAGCTTCATCATCGTCATAAAAATACCCCACCCATTCGCTCTCGAGCAGATATCGTCTGCACTCTTCATATCCTGCAAGCCAGCTAGCTTCACAAGGTTCATCGCAGCACTGGAATAATAATGATTCATGTTCCTTCAAGCTACTCTCTGCGCTATACAGTGTTCAAAACGGCTCTGAGCGGTCCGCCAGTCCGAGTCCGAGTCCGAGTCCGGGCGATTCCGATCAGGTACCTCGCCGCATTCGGTCGCCTGCGACCCAACCGTTAAGTGCTATTGTTCGGTCGAGCCCATGCGCTCCCAGTGCGTTAATAAGAAGAAAGAAGACACAGACATTTTTACCTGCGTGCGCGAGTGCTTCAGTGTCGTTGTGCTCCGTTACGGCCGCCAGGTGCATCGGGCCGCCGGTCCATTGTTCTGTTTCGTGTAGTGCTAGTATAGTGCCCCACGTTCTCCGGATTTCCAGTAAAAACTGTAAGTAGTTTTTATTACACACCCGCTGCCTCAGAGGCAGCTATTCTATTTTTAATTTCTGTGTTCGCTTGTCGCACTAGGCGACAGCTAGGTACACACCCTAGCGTACCAACGCGCTAGTTGTAAAAATGTTCGTTTAGGCACACATCTCCCCCGCCGAAAGGTGGGGGGGCTTGATACACAAGTGTTTTAACCACTGACAAGATGGCGGCTATTACTATAGCCGAACTCGCCGACTTCTTCGGACAAGTGTGCCCCGACGCTTGGGCTAAATTCCTAGCCCAACGTAACTCGTCCACCGCTGAACGCCCAGTTGTTCGTATCGACGATCCCATTTCAACGAGCACCGGCCGCTCGACCCCTGTGTCCATCGACACAGTCTACGACGCCGCGTCCCCTGCGCCTTCTGCGCTCTCCACCCGCGGTCCATCACCGTTGTTTTCGGACGCCGAATCAGGCTCCGAGATGGACATTGAGATTCACCGACCTAATAAACCCGATGACGAAGGCTTCACCCTAGTCTCGGGTAAAAAGCGTAAGCGCACCGCCGCGAAAAAGGGAAACAAGCCTCACTCGGCCCCTACGTCGCCCAACGCCACTCCGGCAAAAAAAGTCGCGCCTTCCGCGCGCAAAATTACCGCGATCAAAACCGCGAACCCGACTCAGGCCGAACCTAGAAAGGAGAAGCCGCCGCCACCTATAATTTTACAGGACAAATCGCGCTGGAGCAACCTATCCAAGTGGATAGACTTCAAGAAAATATTCTGCCCCAAAGTCCACAATGGACCACAAGGCATCCGCATCCACGTCGCAACGACGGACGATTTCCGCGCTTTAACTGCGCATTTAAAAGCTCAAAACTTGAGCTTTCATACTTACTCCCTCGCGGAGGAACGTAACCTCCTTGTTGTAGTTCGCGGACTCCCTAAAGAGCTTGAAACCGAATTCATTCTAAGCGATCTTAAATCGCAAAACCTGCCCGTCAGAGAAGTGCACAGGATGCACCACCCAACAGATAAGAAACGATACCTCGATCTCTGCCTAGTCATACTGGACCTGTCTCCAGAGGGCAAACAGATATATAATATCACTAGAATATGCAATCTCACGGGGATTGTAGTATAGTCCCCGCGTAATAGGGGCATCGTTGGCCAATGCTACCGATGCCAATTATACGGCCACTCGGCTAAGAATTGTTTCGCCAGGTCTAGGTGCGTCAAGTGCTTAGGCGATCATGGCACTACTGAGGGCCCTCTAAGCTGTGTTCTGTGCGGCGAAGAGGGACACCCAGCGAGCTATCGCGGGTGATCCAAAGAGCCGTGTAGGAAGCAGAATGGAGGAGCAATCCGGCGCGGACGTGCGGGCAACCACAGTAGGTCGCGCCCTCGGCATTCTGCCCCATCGATCGCACCAATCTCGGTGCCGCAACTCGCGCCCGCTCAGGCTTCAGCCAAGCCCGCCCCCCGTTAAAGGGACTTCCGGGCAAGGCCCAAGCACTCCGGTGCCTTCAGCACCTAAGCCCAACGCATGGGTTAAGCCCCCGGCGATAGTCAGCGCGGCCGCCTCACGGCCAGTGCCTCCTCGCCAGGCCCAGAAGCCCAAACCCGCCCCTCAGGCACCGTCAAACATCAACACTGACCTTTCGTTAGTGTTCAACTTCGCTAGCAGCTTTAATGTGGCCGAAGTCACAACTCTAGCCCGCAAACTTCGCGAAGCTAAATCGATTCAGGATAGGCTCAATGCTACCATTGAGCATCTTAGTCTTATCCAAGCGATAGGTTCGTTCCAGTGCGCCTAAGCGACTCTTTTCTTTTTAACTAAAATGGAAATATGACCTGTAGGTAGAACTAAGCCTAGGTCTCTGACTGTCGCGTACTTTAACGCAAACGGTATCAGAGATCAAAAGGAAGAGATCATATGTTTTTTACGCGACCATGATATCGACATCATGCTAGTGCAAGAGACCTTCTTGAAACCTAGTTTGAGCGATCCCAAAATAGCCAATTATACCCTAGTAAGAAATGATAGGTTGACCGGACCTAAAGGCGGCACCTTGATCTACTACAAAAGGTCCTTGCAATGTGTAACTATACTGCGTTAAACTTAGAAGCGTCGGTCTGTAGGATAGCACTCACGGGCCATCCGCCATTAATAATTGCATCAGCATACCTGTCTCCCGTAAAAAGCATATTATATTCCGACATATCGGCTCTATTAAACCTAGGCCCTAGCGTATTAATCGCAGGAGACCTAAATAGTAAACACGTTAGCTGGAATTCTAACGTCAACAATTCTAACGGAATAATTCTAAGAGACCTCACGGAGAGACTTAACTTCGATGTTATCGCTCCCGAGAGTCCAACTCGTTATCCTTTTTTATACACCCAACATCCGGACGTCCTTGATATAGCATTACTAAAAGACATCCGACTTAGTATTAATTCGATAGAGACTATTAGCCGGCAGGTGAGGTCCCTCTGACCAAAACTATTGTCGACTGGCGTAAACTTGAGGTCAAACTTAAGTCTACGAACTCCCAGCATTTGGATACTATACCTGACAAGATAGACTCGCTGGAGGAGGCCGATAGGGCGATTAGCGCCCTTTCGACTCACCTCACAACAGCGGTCGAAGATTGCTCCCGTAAGGTTCGTGTGTCGAGCGATCAATACACGAAACTTCCGGCGGATGTTCGACGGCTGATTAGAGCGAAGAATTCCGCGCTTAAAACTTACGACCGCTACCGCACGGAAACCAATAAACTTCGGGTACGTTCTCTGCAAAACCAGATTAAACAACGAGTAGCCGAGATTAGAAACGATAGATGGGATAACCTCTTAGAAGGTATCGAACCGTCCCAAGACGCCTTCTGGAAACTTACGAGAACTCTTAAAGCCGACAAATCCGCACCGATGCCGCCTCTCGTGAGGCTGGACCACCCCGATCTCGCCCTTGACGATCTCGAAAAAGCCGAATGCCTAGCAGACAGTCTAGAGTACCAGTGCACGCCATCCACCGCACCAATAGATCCCGCTCACCTATTAGAGGTAGAAACGGAAGTAGAACGTAGGTCCGCGCTGCCACCAGCGGGTGAACCTCTCGATCCTGTGACAGTAGATGAAGTCACCGAAACCATTAAAAGTCTTAAAAATAGATCAGCCCCTGGGCCAGATGGCATCAGCAACAAGGTTATCAAATCCCTTTCGGCGCCACTTATTTGCTTCCTTGTAGGAATATTTACCACCTTTCTCACGAACTGCTCTTTCCCGGACATCTGGAAAGAAGCAGACGTAATAGGGATCCCAAAACCGCGTAATCGTCCCTCTAGTTACAGACCCATTAGCCTGCTCAACACATTGGGCAAACTATACGAGCGCATTATTCACAAGCGTCTCCGTCATTACACCGAAACTAACGGACTCCTCCCAGACGAACAGTTCGGCTTTAGAGCCAATCACTCATGCACTCACCAGATTCATCGCCTAACAGAATACATCCTGTCTGGCTTCAGTCAAAACCCGTTAAGGAAAAAGTCTCGAAACACGGGAGCCCTCTTCTTCGATGTCGCGAAGGCGTTTGACAAGGTCTGGCACGATGGCTTGATTTACATGCTGTACAAACTGAACGTGCCCGATAGGCTCGTGCACATCATACGAGCTTTCCTTTCGAACCGCACTTTTCGATATCGAGTGGAGGGAACTCGTTCTTCGAAACGTTTCCTCAAGGCCGGGGTTCCACAGGGCTCCGTACTATCTCCACTCCTTTTCACACTTTTCACAAGTGGTATCCCAAAAGACCCCGTAGTGAACACAGCTCTCTTTGCCGACGATACGGCACTCTTTGTGTCAGACCCCAACAAAAATAGACTCGCTATAAAGCTCCAAAAAGCGACCAATCGCCTTAGTCAATGGTTTCGCCTATGGAGAATTGACGTGAATCCCGAAAAAAGTGTAGCAGTATACTTTCAACGGAATTCTACAGGAGGTTCTAAACCCAAAACAATCTCTCTATACGACCGCCCAATCCCTTGGGAAAAATCGGCCAAATATCTAGGCGTCACTTTCGACTCCCGCATGAGTTTCAAGACGCACATAAGTGTAGTACGCAACAGAGCCAAGTCAATAATTGGCCGTCTACACCCCCTCGTTAACAGTAAGAGTAAACTGTCGCTAAGACACAAACTCCGGCTGTACAAAACCTGCATTAGACCGGTTATGTCCTATGCAAGTGTAGCCTTCGCCCATACATATAAGACCCATTTATTAAAACTCCAAAAAGTACAAAATTTTTTCATCCGGAAAGCCACCGGCGCACGGTGGTATCAACGGAACTCTGACTTACACAATGATTGTGAACTACCATCTATCTCCGAATATTTTAAGGAGATGTCTCAACGCTACTTTGATAAAGTAGAAACCCATCCAAACCCGCTAGTGGCAAACACAGCTAACTACGTTCCGATAGCAAACGTCGCGCCCTATCTCCGTAGACCGCGAAATGTTTTAATAGAACCACCTATGTCGCTCGATCCAGTCGACCCAAGCGTCGCAGGCACATCACGCAACGACACTACACCCACACTAAATGGTACAAACACAGATAGGACAACGAATGGGACGCGTCGCACCCGCAGACGGGCACGACGCGTTCCAGCTCACACCGCGTACACACCGTACACCCGCGTTCCTGGACGGTTCTCACCGCCCAGACCATCGACCAATACGAGCTGAGCAGTCAGAGACGGGTGTCCGCATCCCCCCCTCGGACAGCGGTTAGATAGCTCAAAGAAAAACGCCTAAAAGGCGACATGATGATTGATAACAATATCAAATCATAAATCATTCATCATCATTTCACCTCATTGCCTTTACCTATTACCTAGAACAACAACCTTATTACTCGCCTCTGCTTCATGGCACTCTCGCAGATTACTTGCCTTCTTCTCGACTCACCGCAGACTACATGGCAATCTCCTGACACTTGCACATTCGTCGACGAGGTTGCACTATCGTCCTCCTATCTGAGCAGGGGGGTGATGTGGCGGCGCTGTCGTCGCGCTGCAAGCGAAACACACCAAAGTCTAAATCACGCTACATCCAACATTCCGAATCATAAACAGCATATATAGAACATCTCAGAACTATCACACGGAGTGGTGGCCGCTCCCCGGGCAGAACACCTTGTTCGGAGGGAAATCTCCCCTTTTCCTTCTACGGCCACAAAATTATCTAAGTCGTAAAAAATACGTTACTTTATTATATGAAATTAATAAAATTATCATGAACGTCCAAAAATTTATATCATAATATTATTTATAATAAGCATAATATCATGTTAAAATATAATTTGAGTTAATAAAATCCAGACTTCGCATAGTTTTAGAAATTTATAAACAAATGTCACATATTCATTATATAAAATTATCAATGTTTTTATGATAGTTCTTAGTATATAAAAATCTTTTTGTAAGACCGCAGAACGAAACGTAAAATACCGCGAAGCGTGATTACTCTGTCATCTGTCAGTCTCGGTTTCGGTTGCTGTCACATATTAAAAATAAACAGAACTTTTGAAAACAACTTTTGCTTAACAAATTTTGCAATGGATTCACGACTGTACGATACTGTGTTAGCTAATCATAAAATTTTTGAAGATCTCAAAGAAGGTTTGCAAGAAAGTTCAAGTGCAAAATTGCATAATTTGATAGAGCTAAAGGACGATGTACTTTACGCATGGAACTCTATTGAAAACTGTTTATTTAGTGTGAATGTGAAACACTTAGAAGAACATCCTGATGAAACTCCGTACCAGGTATCTGAATTATTTTATAAATTTTCTCTAATAAGATACTATCTTCCAAAACACCGACAAGATTTTACTTTGACAAGTTAGAGGTTATGTTTTGAATTGAAAGTTGTAATATGTATCGTAATTTCGTACGAATTGCGTTTCAAAATAGAAAAAATTGGCACTATTTTTAAATTCATTGACCAATATGTTGATCTATCTAATCTATCTTATATATTAATATAATATAATTTCAATATTTGACTGCAGTTTAGTTCTAAACTAGATAGTACTGGAAACTTGAGTAAAGCAGTGTGCCATATCAAAAATAGTTTTTATTTTAATTTGTGAGGATTGCCAATTTTTTTACTTAGCTCCTATTTTTCGTTAATTGGAATTATAAAAATACCTCTATGATATGACAGAGAAAAATCATTTGTGCTACATGACATCATATACCTACTAGTATATACTCATATTATGACAGACACAATAGACTACTAGTAATTTAATTTGCAATTTTTTGTGTTATTACAATGTTAATGACAAACAATGAAAATTGATGATAAATATTCAAGACAATGTTAATCAATCCATCTAAAAAATTTATCCTAAATTCTAGCCCGATGTTATAAACAAGTTTTAAATTTCCTGTTTTTACTAAGAATGTAACAATTGCATACCTTGTGTCAAAGGTAATCATTTATTATCATTATAACAGTTATTATCATTTCAAACATACACTTGGTACTTAAATCATTGCTGCATCGGAATTGGATTTCCCATTGTTTTTATATATTTGTTCTATATTTTCTTCAATTACTAATAATGGTTACTTGCTGATTTCTTAAATTTATGTGAACACTACACATTGTAATGAAACTATATTTATGGATTTTATCGCATTTAACTATTTTAACTTATTTTTAATTCCCGATGTTTAATTTTGTTAATTATAGCTACAATAATATATAGCAAACGTGAAGCACCGATGCTTCCGATGCAAGATATTCCCCACCATTACATCAGATTTGACAAACCACGAATCCTCGCAAAAGAACACTGATTCCTTCCAAAGATGATACGCAAGGCTATTGAAATTAAAAAACATCCTAATTTCAGTAGAGAAGGTGGATGAGTGCTGCCATCGGCTTAGAATCCTATAATTAACAAAATTAAACCCAAACCCAAACATACCACTCCAAGACTTCTATTGTAAGCTTTGCATAGATTTTGCATTTTGCGTGGATTGGACCAAAAATTTATATTCAAAAACTGAAGGTAGCCGGGCTAACTATGACATTTGAACATCAAACATCTCATTCCCTCACATGACCATGGGTGCTGTAAAGCACCCAAAACTAAATTAAAAATAAGTTAAAATAGTTATTTAAATGTGATAAAATCAGTAAAAATAGTTTTATTACAATGGTTACTTGCGTTAAGTTATACTAGATTGGGTTTTACAGTCATATTATTCCCTAGTTTATTGTTAAATTTGATATGTGTATCGTATTTCTGATAAACTTTTCAGTATCACATCCAATTTTTAAAGCTGAAGAAGTTAAAACCATAGTATTTTATTATTGAACAAAAATGAAATTGTTTTACTTGACCAAAGGTGATCCGAATATCCGAAGGGTCATCAGATTGTTACATGTCGCTGCTTTGGAAGGATACTGTCGTAACTCAAATTGAGTGAATTTTTCAGTAGAGCACTTTAAAGTTTTTTCAAATCTTCAAATGCTGTATTTTTTTTATTTACTGCGCAAATGTTGATGAAACTTGAATAAAACACGTGAAATATATTACAGTTTATGTTTATTAAACGTTTTTAAGAAAATGATACTTATTTAGTACTAAATATTGAAAACGACTGCTAGCTCAGACTTATAACAAAACACAGACAAACTTATGAAGATTACTGTCTCATTTCAAAAAATACTAGAAAAAAAAGGTTATTTTTAATAATAGTGGTGTTTTAAGAAATAATACAAAATATTCATTATGTTTTTCTCAGTGATACTGTGATACATTGTGAATTGTGACATCTTAGCATTATTTATTTTAATTCAATAGTGTTACCAATTTGGTCGTTCTTTTACAAAAATGCTTACTGTATGGGACATTTTTTATGTAAAAATAAAGTATTAACTGGTTTTACAACAAGTAATAAATATATATATATATATATATATATATATATATATATATATATATATATATATATATTTCTCGTGTATGTCACTTGGAAGAGAAGGCCAAATTGGCCTCTAAAAAGCTTGGCGTGCTAAGCAGAGCGGGACAGTATTTCATGTCGGCACACCGCCTGCAACTTTACAAGGCGCAGGTTCGGCCGCACATGGAATATTGTTCCCATCTCTGGGCTGGGGCTCCCCAGTACCAGCTCCTTCCACTTGACCGCATCCAGCGAAGAGCGGCTCCAATCGTCGACGACCGAGTGTTTTCCGATCGGCTCGATTCACTGGCACTGCGAAGAAATTTTGCATCTTGTAGCGGCGCTGTCGTCGCGCCACAATCGAAATACACCGAAGTCTAAATCACGCTATCAACATTCCGAATCATAAACAGTATATATAGAACATCTCCGAACTATCACTCGGAGAGTTGGCCGCTCCCCGGGCATAACACCTTGCCCGGTGGGAGATCTCCCCTTTTCCTTCTACGGCCACAGTGGTGACCCCGACGTGATCTGAACATGCAACCAAATAACCTTCGGAAACTTCAAGCTTCATCATCGTCATAGAATACCCCACCCATTCGCTCCCGAGCAGATATCGTCTGCAGTCTTCGTATCCTGCAAGCCATCTAGCTTCACAAGGTTCATCGCAGCACTGGAATAATAATGCTTCCTGTTCCTTCAAGCTACTCTCTACGCCATACAGTGTTCGGCACGGCTCTGAGCCTTACTGCTCGCCTCTGCTTCACGGCACTCTCGCAGATTACTTGCCTTCTTCTCGACTCACCGCAGACTACAAGGCAATCTTCTGGCACTTGCACATTCGTCGGCAACGAGGCTGCACTATCGACCTCCGGTCTGAGCAGGGGGGTGATGTAGCGGCGCTGTCGTCGCGCCACAATCGAAATACACCGAAGTCTAAATCACGCTATCAACATTCCGAATCATAAACAGTATATATAGAACATCTCCGAACTATCACACGGAGTGTTGGCCGCTCCCCGGGCAGAACACCTTGCCCGGCGGGAGATCTCCCCTTTTCCTAACACGGCCACAGTCTTTGCATTTTCTTTCGCATATACCATGGAGAGTGCTCTGAGGAATTGTTCGGATTAATCCCAGCCGCCAAATTTTGTGAACGCACTACGCGGCAAACGTCGCGATACCATCCACATCATCTGGATGCTTGGCGGTCTACCACTGTACGTTTCAAGAGGAGTTTTCTTCCGCGTACAACCTCTCTGTGGAATGGTTTACCACCAGCGATTTTTCCGGACCGATACGACCTGGGGACCTTCAAGAAAAGAGCGTACTCCTTTCTAAAGGGCCGGCAACGCACCTGCAATTCCCCTGGTGTTGCGGTTGATCATGGGCGGCGGTAGTCACTTAACATCAGGTGAGCCGCATGCTCGTTTGCCCCCTCTTCTATAAAAAAAAACGTGCGAATGCGGGATGCAAATTCGGTTATGTCCGTTGTACCGCTGGCACTTGGCTCAAAAAATTCTCCGGGCAAAGATAAAGGTTCACCATACAATAATTCAGCAGAGGATGATTGTAAGTCCTCTTTGAATGAACTGCGTATCCCTAACAATACCCATGGCAGTGACTCGGTCCATTTTTCTCGTGTATGACACATTATGGACGATTTGAGCTGCTTATGGAATCGTTCCACCAGTCCATTACTTGCCGGATGGTAAGCCGTCGTGCGTTTGTGCTGGAATCCGGCTATTTTGGCGAGTTGTTGGAAAAGGGTTGACTCGAATTGCTTACCACGGTCAGTTATAATGTCTGTGGGGCAGCCAAATCGAGCTATCCAACAAGATAACAAAGCCTTCGCAACCGTTTCTGCTGTTATATCAGCGATCGGAACAGCTTCGGGCCACCTTGTGAAGCGGTCAACACACGTCAGACAATACCGTTAGCCATCCGACAATGGCAATGGTCCTACCAGATCGATGTGAATTTGTTTAAACCTTGCACGCGGTATTTTAAACGTGCCTATAGGTGAGCTAACATGCCGATATATTTTCGAACGTTGGCATGGTAAACACGTTTTTGACCATTCCCGACAGTCTTTTCGAACTTTCGGCCACACGAAACGTTCTGCCACTAACTTGGCGGTTGTGTTAACGCCTGGATGACTGAGCGAATGTAAACTAACTTTTTCTAGGCGTAGTGAAGAACCTTCTTTTATGAGCTTTTCAAGCTCAGGGTCAGAAGCTTGGCTTTTAGCTAATGCTTCTAAGTCAATAGGCGCCTCCAATGCCTCTACACGCGAAAGTGTATCGGCAACAACGTTGTCCTTCCCGGAAATATGCCTGATATCAGTAGTAAACTGGGCTATATAATCTAAGTGTCTATACTGCCTAGGCGAACAGTTGGATTTCCTTGCATGAAATGGGAAACTGATTGGCTTGTGGTCAGTATATACTGTGAAATGTCAATGCTTCTAACATGTAGCGAAAATATCTAATAGGCTCATAAATTGTTAGGAGCAAAATATTCCCCTTACGACTCCCTGTCGTTATATAGTATTATATAATATTTTGTCTGAGAAGTTTTCAGCTTTCGGGAGAAAATGCTAGCGGCTGCCATACGTCTTCTTTTAACTGCTGTAGGACAGCTCCAATTGTTTTATCCGAAGCATCAGTGACGAAAGCCAATTTTGCTTGGAAATCTGGATGTGTTAATAACGCTGCCTCAGAAAGGCTTTCTTTGCATGTTTTAAATGCATTTAAAGACTCACCAGATAATGTAATAGACTCTTTATTCTTTATTACGCCTGTCAACAAGGCATTAAGCGGTGCTTGTATTTCTGCAGCACGTGGTAAAAATCGCCTATAAAAATTGACCATGCCCAGAAATCGTCGAAGTTGTCGAACATTGGTGGGCGATGGGAAGTTTT